TTGTAACCGGGACGTATGCTCTCGCCACGCGGAGTCCAACGCTCTAGCGACTGAGCTACGGGACCGAGACCGGTCGATATCCCTGGATCGACTCCCTGTTTGTGGAAACATAATGATTGTAGATATAAATCGTGATTTTTTGTGCACGTAAATAACTTTACGTGTGTCCGTACTCCGTATATATACGGATATATACGGATATATCTACTTGTGAAAGTGGAACGAAAACGTTTAATGTAACCGACTAGATATATAGGAACGTTTACGCCTATAGGGGAAGGTGCCCAAATTGCGCCATGCTTAGCTTAATCAACTATTACTCGTAAAGGGATGGGTGGAGAGCTGGTTAAAGGGACCTTCCCTCCTTCAAAAAAGTTTATGAATTGGCATGAAAGTAATGTCGCTCGGTTCAGAAAGAGCGAAAACGAATATCTACCAAATTTCACCGAAAAAATATTCACCGGTTTTCAAGATATTAGACTTTTACTTTTGTTTACTTTTTGGGATCTCCGCTGTTCCTAGCGACTTTATTTGGAAGCAATAGTTTGGCAGCTGAAAGTGCGGCACTTGTTGCGCGCAAAGCAGCATGTACCACCGCGAGCTACAAAACGTTTTAGTCAAACATTTAAAAATCGTTAGATATCTGCGCTGACGTCACACATTCAGAAGGGTAATCCTATGCATTAGCCCCTCTGAATCAAAATGCTGCAATTTTGAAATTCAATATTTCCGATTTAAAGGGACCCTCCCGGCTCCCACCTTCAAAAAAGTTAATGAATTGGCATGAAAGTGATGTCGCTCGGTTCAGAAAGAGCAAAAACGAATATCTACCAAATTTCATCGAAAAATATTCACCGGTTTTCAAGATATTAGACTTTTACTTTTGTTTACTTTTTGGGATCTCCGCTGTTCCTAGCGACTTTATTTGAAAGTGCGGCATTTGTTGCGCGCAAAGCAGCATATACCACCGCGTGCTACAAAACGTTTTAGTCAAACATTTAACGGACGTTCGAAAGCCTGATGACGTCATCAGATTCCCGTAATGGTTAAGAGATAGGGACCACGCTGGTCCCACCCTGCAAGTAAAGGGAAGAAATTTCTTGAACACCATAAAGCTGCGGGGGTTGCGACCAGGATAAATGGTGGTTTCTGAGCCTGGCCGCAAACTTGGCTATCTCAACTCAAAACTAATGTTAAGGTGGGAGGGTCCCTTTAAAGGGACCCTCCCACCTTCAAAAAAGTTAATGAATTGGCATGAAAGTGATGTCGCTCGGTTCAGAAAGAGCAAAAACGAATATCTACCAAATTTCATCGAAAAATATTCACCGGTTTTCAAGATATTAGACTTTTACTTTTGTTTACTTTTTGGGATCTCCGCTGTTCCTAGCGACTTTATTTGAAAGTGCGGCATTTGTTGCGCGCAAAGCAGCATATACCACCGCGTGCTACAAAACGTTTTAGTCAAACATTTAAAAATCGTTAGATATCTGCGATGACGTCACACATTCAGAGGGGTATTCTTATGCATTAGCCCCTCTGAATCAAAATGCTGCAATTTTGAAATTCAATATTTCCGATTTAAGGCATTTCTCGATGTTGTGAGTGCCGAAACCGGTAATTGTGAGCCAGGGACCCCATTTTGGCTATCTCAACTCAAATCTAATGTTAAGGTGGGAGGGTCCCTTTAAGGCATTTCTCGATGTTTTGAGTGCCGAAACCGTTAATTGTGAGCCAGGGACCCCATTTTGGCTATCTCAACTCAAATCTAATGTTAAGGTGGGAGTGTCCCTTTAACGTCTTCTAATTCGTAAGCTGATTAATTTTCTATAAAAAAATGCCATTACCAGTTACCACACTTCTAAAGTCAGCCGTGAATTTTATGTTGAATTTCTAGTAAACTAAACCCTTGCAAAAGGCGCAATTAGTGCAGCCCTGCCCTAAAAGCGCCAGTACCATGCCCCATTTCCGCCACTTTCTAAAGACCTTTCAAAAAAGCAGATTTTGAATAACTTATTCACGTCAATGATTATTACAGACGATTTTCGCATCCTTAAAGGGACCCTCCCACCATCAAAAAAGTTAATGAATTGGCATGAAAGTGATGTCCCTTGGTTCAGAAAGAGCGAAAACGAATATCTACCAAATTTCACCGAAAAATATTCACTGGTTTTCAAGATATTAGGCTTTTACTTTTGTTTACTTTTTGGGATCTCCCCTGTTACTAGCGACTTTATTTGGAAGCAATAATTTGGCAGCCTTAAAGTGCGGCAGACGTTGCGCGCAAGGCAGCGTATACCACCACGTGTTAACGATGGTTTTAGTCTAAGATTTAAAAATCGTTAGATCTCCGCTGACGTCACAAATTCTAAGGGGGCATTCCAATGCACTAGCCCCTCAGAATCCGAAAACTGCAAGTTTGAAATTCCATATCTTCGAATTAAAGCATTTTTCGATGTTGTGAGTGCCCAAACCGGTATTTGCAGGCCATGGCCACCAATTTGGCTATCTCAACTCAAAACTAATGTTAAAGGAAAAGGGCCACCTTCGTGAAATATGAAGATATCGTTGTTTTTCATTTTGACATTATTATTTTTCATTTTCTTTTTAAAACTGGTGCCAGAAGTGCACAATTCGCTAAAAAGTATTTAAAACTATTTAACATATTGGTACTATGTTGATACTCTCTACGGCACCTACTGTATGATGGCATAGCGATGACGTCACACTCAAGCCAATCAGCGTTCAGAAGACAGACTCGTCGGATTGTGTCAGATAAGCTGATTGGTTAAAGCTGAGCTGGTTGGAGCTGATTGGTAAAAAACCAAAGCCTCGCCGCGAGTGGCTGTATTGTCGGATAAGAACGCATTCCTGGGATAAGGACGCATTCCTGGCGTATTTTCTTTTAAAATTGCCGATAACTACGAATGGAGGCCGAAATCGGCCGTAAGGAGGTAGACAATTAGGTTTTCGGACACGGGCTACAAGATGGCTATCTCAGTTTCAATCCCCATGTTAAAGGTGGCCCTTTTCCTTTAAGGTGGCAGTGTCCCTTTAAATTTGGACAAGGCGATTTTTTTTTTTGTAAGTAATTTAGGTACTTTTGATGACAGCATCGCCAGCTCTCTGCAAGTTTTATGTCAGAAAATCGAGGAAATAAGCGTTTTTGAGTACCTATTGAATGCATTCGACAGAGACACTTATAAGCATGTGCTGCAAAAACACAGTTAGGTACTAGCATAGCATAAGCACAAAATAGTTAATATCAAGTCGAAAATAAATAATGACTCACTGCTCGTCTTCATCGCTTCGGATGACCGGTGGAAAAGGATATAATCTTCCGGTTAAAGGAATCAAGACGTAACGAAAAAGGTTATACGTGATTCTACTTTGTCTATCAAATGGCTATCTCGTTTTTTTTGAAAATTTCGAATTTTGGCCCAAACTTTTTCTTTAATAAAACTGACTTTTTCGGGAAAATAATTATAAAATCCAAAATTTTGAGTGTATCGAAAAAACCGGAATATATGTCAGAGAAATGGTCTATGTGCACCTACATACCTACCAACTTTTAGAAGAATCGGTTCACAAATGTGGGAGTTATTCAAAATTTTATGACGTCACAACACACAATTTTTTTGAAAAATGAATTTTTTGGAAGTTCTAGACATTGTACGGAAACAAAAATAGCACCATTCGATTCGGCGTGAAAAACTGCATCAGATAGTCACCTTTTTAGGCCTTACAGCCAACTTCAAAATTTGACCTTACTTTACCTGACCTTGACCTGACCTCGACCTGAAATTCATTAAGAGGTGGTCCATATCACTATTAGTAGTTGAGTGTGCCTATTGAATTATATGAATAAAATGACCATAAAACATGCGTTGCACATGCCCTTTTATATACTTTGTTTTTGGTGACCTTACCTGACCTGACCTTGACCTTGATCTTTAAATGATATTGTATGCAAAGAATATTGTCTTGGTAGCCTAAGAACACGTCTTGGGCAATCAGCCTCAGTCCATTCTTCGGCAACTACGGTGCAAGGCCGATACTGTAGAAACTTGCATTTTGTACCCTTGACCTGACCTTGACCTGACCTCTGACCTATTTAAGCAAAACAATTTGGGCTCTTAAGATCCGCCTCGTTGAGAGCTTTCGATTACCGTTTTCCCCGTCTTTCTACGACCATCGGTTCGGAAGTTAGACAGGGGGGCAGAATCTGCCCCCCCCCCGCCAGCAGGGCGCGTTCATGTGCTTGACCTGACCTTGACCTGACCTGTGACCTTGAAATTCAACTGGCTGAATAGCCCAGCGGGGCGCGGGTTAACAAACAAAACATCCATTATTTCATTTCCATGGGTCAGAATATGGGTTTGTTTATGATGACGAGCAACAACGTGAGCATATCGTCTTTCCGACAATCGGTCGCCGGCCGGGATAACTTTTTCAGACATTCTCTACCCATGCGTTATTGGCTGGTATGCCCAAGTAGGTACCTATATAGACTAATCTATCGTGTACAAATAAATACCTAATACCGATGCAAAAGATTTTTGATTAACGTCTTTCGTCTAAAGTCGTCATTGCTACATTTGTTGCTACCGTGCACAACTTAAAAATGATTTTTGTCATGTGCTCCTTTTTGTGTTTTTTCTTTGGCATTGCAACCTTATTAGTTTACCCCGCCGGCTGTTCAGTGAGAGACTGCAGGACTGTCTCCTTTTCCGACCCAAGATACCATCCGACCGATGTGGCATGAGGACTGGCGAGAGCCCCGTCAGCCGCTTCGGTGCACTCAATCGCTACTGACTGTCAGCTGCGGTCAGTGGCAGGGGTCGCCAAACAGCTGAGTGGTTTAGCCTGGGAGCACCCAAACTGAAACAGCTGAACGGGATTCGTTGGTATGCCTATGTCTTAATAAAATAAAAAAATAGGACTTAGGTTATGTTTCGCCCCCTAATACTCAAGCAAAGGAATGTTGTTGGCTACCTATAACATCTATTTGATAGTTTTATTAGCAAACTACAAACATACACGATATAATGCGGTCCTTTTGTACATCACTCTCCCCCCCCCCGCCCCAACACACTGAGGAGAGATTTACCAGCAGAGCCAACCGGGGCACCCCTCACTCTATCAACCTCGCCCTGATAGCTACCAACCCGTACGTCTGAAGAGTAGGCGATCCGCCTTAGGCAAGCACGCCGCGTCTATTACGACATTCGCGCCTGTTTGTCACACACACCACACAGCCGTTAGAGTCAGATCGTCGCACAAGCTTCGCCACACTACGCCAGTGCCGTGGGACTGCAGGGGCTCTTGAGAAGGGGACGGGGCAAGACAGCAGTGCCATTCGCAATCAGCTCCTGCAAAGCGGCTAGAACAGCTGGCGGTGCTCGACAGTGGGCCCACGCTTGGCTAGCTCCTTGTAATACGAGTACACCACGAGGAGCAGATACCAGAAGAAGCCGTAGACGCCCAGTATGACGGCCAGGCTGGTGTAGATAATCGCCTTGGCCATTGTCCGATCGTTCTCCGACAGCTCGGCGATGGTGTTCACGTCGATCACCACGGACGGGTCGTAGAACGCGTAGAAGATGGCCACCGTGCTAACGAGCATGTAGAGGCCGAACAGGACCACGAAGGCGAGCACGAGCGGCCGGCTGGAGCGGAACACGCCGACCACCAGCGCAGCGCTGATGGCCGTGAACAGTACCGTGGTGCACAGCCGCGCGACGAGCAGCGCGCGCGAGTGGTACAGCAGCCGCTCGGCGTCCCGGTGCGGGTACAGCTCCCCCAGCTGGGTCAGCAGCTGCTCGCTGCCGACGTCCAGCTTGTGCAGCTCGATGGCGGACGACACCATCGACAGGACGCCCAGGACCTGCGGGGCACACAGACGCCGTGACGTCAGTGATGGCTGCACACTGCACGGCAACGTCATTCATGAGGGGAATAAACAAGGTGAACGACATCGCTTACGTCAATACGGTGGACCTGCAACACAGGCGACGTAGCGCCCTGTCGCCCTTCGCTATTACGGGAGAGTTACCAACCGCTAACCACAACGCCTTACTCATCGGAAGACCCGAAGACATGCCTAGAGAGTCAGAGACGGTATCGCAATGCCATGAAAAGTGAACTATCGTAACAACACGATGTTCTTAGAGTTTCAGGAACACGGTTCCGGTTGCGCATTTGTGCAATGAAGACACACTGAGTACCTACCGAGCCTATTAGCTCGTTCCTGCACAATACTGACCGTGAAGACGATACCGATGATTTTGGCCGCCTTCTCGAGTCTCATGGTGCCGCAGCAGCACCGGCAGCTCTTGAGCACCATCATGAGTTCCTGAGTCGGGCACCACCAACTACCAAGAGCAGAACACCTCTCACTAGCTCGGATTCAGGGAGACTGAGCCTACACACACCGAGCCGCTGCACGTTTCAAGCAGACGTCGGCAGCGCTTGTGACCGCCGCGCTCCGTCTGCGGACTGTCAGTGGCTCGGCGGTAGGACGCCCGGCTGTACCCGGCGCTCCAGGCCGTGTGATTATGGCTCGCGGATCGTGCTGCAGCGCCGCGGCCTTGGACGGTCGGCGCGGTGGCGCAGCGCGGCCGGCCGGCCGGGGTCCGCTGGCGGCCGGCCAGTCCTCAGTGCGGCGGCTGCAGCCGCGCAGTGTGACGGACGGTACACCGGGTTACCGTCAGAGGTGCGTGCGATCTGCAGAGCCGGCCGGGGAATAGCACAAGGACGATCGGCGCACAGCCGGCAGAATCGGGGACACTGGCAATGACCCACTTGTCACTGTCCACTTTGCCGGTACAGAAAGGAACGAGCACTTTTGATGGCTTTGTCAATGGGAGCATATTTGTGGTCCCCTATAGGTGTGAGGATAGATGGTGTGATGACATACCTACACAGTTAACTGTAGTCCGTAATGAAGGCAGAAACAAAGCCAAAAGAAAGAAACAAAACCTGGCTAACAAGACAATATAACCATGAAACCATAAGCCAAAGGCGGAAGGATTTAATGGTCTACTCCATCCATCTCCCAATGAAGCCCGATGCCAGGCCCGTGAACAGTGTTGTGTATGACAAAACCAATCCATCGCAAAATCATGTCGTCATTCAAATACCATACAATCAGCTCAAATCTGCTGGGAGTCATTGGTAACACCGCAGCATGCGGCGCGTGTGTAACTAGGTATGAGCCGTCTAAAACACGTCCACATATATACCAAATGCTCGCTGGAACATTCATCCAATTGGCAAAAGCAATGTTTACTTGGTACTACGAAGTTACGCATGCTTTGCTAAATTTAGGCTTTGTTTAATGGTATTCGTATCTGAAACATTTCACAGCTCTGTCGGCCAGCTTAATGTTTACCTCCGGTTGCATCAATAAAACTAGACGCATTCTAGCGTCTCGTCTATGATAAGCCACTTAAAGCGCTTACTTCCGCTTGGAGCGAGCTCGGCTGCGGGTCTTGCATGTGCTCGGCCACGCTCCCGCCCAAAATGGGCTAACTCGGGCGGCCCTGGCCGAGATTCAGCACCACCGTATATGTATATATTGTACTTTAGCACTGCTAAACGTGGCCCGATCCCTGCTCCACTGAGACTTACGTCTGCCTCCCGCTCGGGCCGGCCGGTTAGGCGGACATGGCTGGCAGCGCCCGGTGCGGCCTGGCAGTGGTCTGTCAGGGCAATGGGACAGGGCAGGCCGCCTATCTGTCATTCTTGGACACCCGAGGGGATCCAACAGCACGGCTTCAGAGAAAACCACGACGACGCAGTGCGTTTTTAGAATTCGATAGAGAGGAGGATCAAGTTGCAACCCGAGCACCGTTGGTGGCTGGGGGAGTTTAAAGGGACACTCCCACCTTAACATTAGTTTTGAGTTGAGATAGCCAAATTGGTGGCCATGGCCTGCAAATACCGGTTTGGGCACTCACAACATCGACAAATGCTTTAATTCGGAGATATGGAATTTCAAACTTGCAGTTTTCGGATTCTAAGGGGCTAGTGCATTGGTATGCCCCCTTAGAATTTGTGACGTCAGCGGAGATCTAACGATTTTTAAATCTTTTACTAAAACGTTTGGTAGCACGCGGTGGTATATGCTGCTTTGCGCGCAACAAATGCCGCACTTTCAAATAAAGTCGCTAGGAACAGCGGAGATCCCAAAAAGTAAACAAAAGTAAAAGTCTAATATCTTGAAAACCGGTGAATATTTTTCGATGAAATTTGGTAGATATTCGTTTTCGCTCTTTCTGAACCGAGCGACATCACTTTCATGCCAATTCATTAACTTTTTTGAAGGTGGGAGGGTCCCTTTAACGCCACTCCTTCTTTGCGGATAGATTTACAAGTCAAAGATGCATCAAAAGATGCGCAAAACTATATCCTATCTATACATCTTTTCGGTTTCTCTCTGTGCAAGTTGTTGACAGAGCCGCATTTTATTTCAAGAGCCGCATATTCAGCCTTCAGGCCATGCTCAATTATCTGGTCACTGGAATTCTTATTTTTAAGCCAATAGTAGGTTAGTAGGGGAAGTTGGGGGAACGCCGAATACTTTTTTTCTGACGCCCATAGCACGCAAGGGAGACAACATAAGCTATTCTTGTTGGCGTCATTCGAGAGGTCAGTCTTTTGCCTTTCAAACATACGAGGCGCATTCGATGAATTCGCATACCGTTAAGCGCAAAAACTAAAAATATCAAAGAAGTGACTTTTTCGGCGTTGCCCCGGACTGCGGGGAAAGCCGAAAATGGGAGAAAGGATCTACGGGGAATGCTGACATTGATGTTTTGCCATTTTATCTCAAACTTTATCCAGAATTCATCAAAGTTTACACGCGTTTAAGATCTTGAGGATGCTTGGTGCACACTGGAAGTTATAATTGTGTGATAAAATAAGAAAATGCCAGGTACATCATTCCTTATAGGTAACAGGCCGTTGTGTCGGTTGAAAAATTTGTGTGACTAAAAATACGCGTTGCTATTCTACAGCAGTAAAGTCCACGTAGCGTGCTTTAATTAACGTGCGTAATTGCACGTTTTCGGCATTACCCCAGCCAGCCATACTTTCATTTGCAGGCCTATTTCTTTTCAACGTGCTGTATGAATTTCAAATAGGCAGCACACTTATGCAAAGACATGCTGAAGATTACTTGGCCGAATTGGCCAGACAAACGGTAGCATAATGAGTGAGAAATGCAGCTTCAAAGGCGCATGTAGTACAAGGGAAACGTACCTTGAAAACGCTCTTGGCGCCTTCACAGCCGAAGCATTCCGAATGACGACTCGTAACAAACATGCGACCAGTATAGCGCCTTTGGGGGCGACTAACGGAGCGAGCGAGAGGGCGAGCCTTGCACGTGCGAAATTTCAAGGGGGTACCTCCAACTGACTTGTGCACGGCACCCTACTAACCGGTCTCTAGCGATGTGCCAAATTTGAGCACAATCGGCCCAGCCGTTCTCGAGATCTGGAAGCGGCACCCTGCACGTGCGCACGTGCAGAATGGGTCCCAACTGACTTGTGCACGGCACCCTACTAACTGGTCCCTAACCGTGTACCAAATTTGAGCGCCATCGGTCCAGCCGTTCTCGAGATCTGGAAACGACCCCTGCACGTGCGCACGTGCAGCAGCACCCCAACTCTGGCACATGGATATGCAGTGCCTAGTGGGTGCCTACCCACATGCCAACTTTCAGCGCAATCGGCCAAGTAGTTACCGAGATATTGCAACAATTACAAAACTGACACCTCTTCGTTTTGCACGTGGCACGTGCATAAGGGGTCACCCACATGCATCGGGAATAGTCCAATACTTGGTAGAAGGAATGAAGCTACCCTACAAAAATTACCCCGTGTAAATCGGTCAAGTGGTTGCTGAGATATAAGCCTCGCAAAAGCGTCCGCACGGCCGGCCGGCCGGCCGGCCGCTCATACTGTAGTGCACCGCCGCACGTTCTCCGACGCGGCGCGGCACTACCGCCGCTGGCGACTGGCGAGCGCTCCGACGCGGGGCGGCGCCACCGTCGACCTCAACGTGGCGCTGCTGTCGCAGCTGACGCGAGGCGCAGGTTCAGCGATATCCGCCAGATGGCTCTGCTCCACTTAATCATTTTTTATGTCCGATTTATTAATGTTTTAGAAATGTATGTTCGTGCGTATGTATCATAATGTTCATCGTCGTATGGGCATTCACGCACTCTTCTAGAAAGTATCTCTCGCTCTGATATACGTTTTCTCACTGCTTTGTACTGTCCTTAACTTTGCCAAAACGAACTATGGTTTCATCGTTGTGTTCACTACATAGCTTGCTCATGCTGTTTCAAATACATCGCTATCCTTGGCCGATCTAAGTGTTTGGGGGAGACGGCTCCACATCAGGGAACTTCCCAGCCCGTCGTTGTGTGGAATCCCAAGTTGCGAATCCCAAACACTGGAACGGCTTCATCCGGCTTAGAGCACGACTCGCCACGGCACCAGCCACAAATGGTGACCCCGACGTGATCGGTAGCTCAAGAAGTCATCGTCTCCGCCTCGGCAAGAAGAGGTCATCTTTGACCTGGCCTCCCCATCGCCTCGGCAAGAATGGGTGACCTTCACCCGGCTTCCGCTGCCGCGAACAGTGAATAGTGCGCTGGTGACGTGGTGAATAGTGCGCTGGTGACGTGGCCTAGCCTCAGCGCAACGAGCGCCTAACGCAGTGCAGCGCAGCGAGCGCCAACGCAGTGCAGCGCAACGAGCGCCCAACGCAGTGCAGCGCAGCGAGCGCCAACGCAGTGCAGCGCAGTGAGCGCGGCGAGCGCCTAGTGATTACCGACAGTCTTTCAGTGTGCCTCTAGTGTTAGTGTTTGCTGTATATAGTGACTATGCCGTCACCCATCGAGCCGGGGAGTGCCGCCCAGGACGCGCCGACGCGGCCATTCGCGTCGTTCCGGCTGCCGGCCTACGCACCTGAAGAAGCCGAGCTCTGGCTGGTGCAGGTCGAGTGTGCCTTCGCCGTCGCCGGCATCACGGATGACCACGACAAGTTCCGGCTGCTGGTGGCCAACCTGCCTGTGCATGTCGCTTCACAAGTTCGAGACGTGATAACAGCCGAGACCGGTTCGTTCTCAGAACTAAAAGGGGCCCTGAGCACGCGCCTGGCCCAGTCGCGCGCCTCACGCCTCGAGGCACTCCTCCGCGACCACCAGCTGGGCGACAGGAAGCCCACGCAGCTGTTGCGCAGCATGCAACACATGCTGGGCAGCGCGGGCCACGACCTCGGCCTTCTCAGGACGCTGTTCCTGCAGCGCCTGCCGCCGACGACCCGCGCCGCCCTCGCGCTGCTGCCGGAGGCCACTGGCATTGATGACCTGGCCAGCGCGGCCGACCGCTTCCAGGAGGCCTCTGGCGGCGCCGCCGTGACTGCTGTCTGCACGCCGACGGCCGGTGTCGCTGCCGCCTGTGGCCCGCCGGCCGGCCCTGGGGTCACGCTCGCCCCGCCGGCCAGCGCGGTGGCCGCCGCCGGACCGCCCGCCGCCTGCGGGTGCGGTAACGCCGGCATGGCCGCTGCCGTCACCGCCCTCACCGCTGCGGTAGCACGAATCGAAGCCGTGTTCCAGCGGGGCGGTGCCGACGCTCCTCGGCGTGGCCGCTCCCGCTCCCGTCCGCGCCGACCCGCACCTGCCTCGTCTGGCAGTTCTCAACCGGCATCGGTGACACCTGATGAAGGGTACTGCTGGTACCACCAGAAGTACGGCGCGGAGGCCCACCGCTGCAGACCGCCGTGCTCCTGGTCGGGAAACTAGCCCGCCTGTCCGCGCTAGCGCCAGCGGAGACGGGCCGGCCAACACTGGCGCCCCTCTTCTATGTCACCGACCTTGCCCGGAACTGGCGGTTCCTCG